CATCCACACCCACACCCTCAGCCCCACACCCACACCTACACTCCCATTCACACCCCACCCCACCCCACCTCACCCACACCCACACATACACCCCACGCACACCCAACACTCCACACCCACACGCACACTCATACTCTTGCCCTCAGTTCGTGTTAGTGATCATTTTGAACAGTTCATCAGTTCTAAACGAAAGGTGAACTTGTCGACCTCTACTAACCAGTGAAGGGAATCCATCGTATTTCATATTTGAACCCAGAAAAGAATGCACTTAAAGGTTTTTTCATAAAAATTATGTCTACTGATGCTCGAATATCTTGTATGAGAGGGTTTCGTTAAAAATCAAACTTTTGGCATATGCTAATGATCATGAACCATATAGATTAAAGTTCGTTTGAGACTCCTCGACTTGACTTCGTCGGCTCTTTTTGGTAATCAGTTGAAGACATAATGGAAGAATTACAAGTCAGTCTAGAAGAGAAAGGCTCGTAAATTCTCGAAAGTTTGACTGTTCTCGTGAGATCCTATTTATTCGAATTTGTCGTTGATTTTTTTTCTTTTAGATTAGTCAATCTCTCGTGGTGTTGCTAGTGATGGGATACTTGAATATACTCTTATTCAATAAGTAACTTCAATCTAAGGTTGTAATCCGTCTAGTTAAAAATTACTTCAAATTCTGATTGAGAAATGTAAAAGAATATTTAACAATAACATAGTATAATCTCATTATGCACAGGTATCTTCTTCTTTTATCTAATTTCAATATAAAATATAATGCGAATGTTCGTTATTAAAGAGATTCGTTCACTGAGTTTTCGTTTCGTACTTGTCATATTTAACGGTTATTTTTTATATTGTTCAAATCGGATGATGTGTCTCAATTTTAGAAAATAAACGATGTTATCACCAATAAAACGATTTTTTCCTTCATCAATATTGCAAACACGTAGCATGGTCATAAAACTGTGTCAATGTCAAAATTCAATTCAAATCAGCTATCCGCCATCAGTTCAAATCGAAAAATTAACTATACAAGAACTTTTGAAACCATCATCAAATATGAAAAATATTTGTGATATAACTGCTCAAAGTTTTGGAGATCCATCATATCGAATGAATGATGCTATTGTTCAGTCAACTCACATTTACCTAGCGCGGATAAAAAGTCGATACATCGGATATTTGATGGTTGATTTCGAATTTGGATTATCAGTGTATAATGAAGAATCTTTAATATATCCAATATTAGGATGTATAGATCCTACATGGAAAAGAAAAGGTATAATGCGTTTTATTGTTGGTCATTTTGTTCGAGATATTCAACAATATCAACAGCAGAATTCCAGAAAAGTTTTAGTTTGGTTTACAACAGTAACACCATATATGATACGTACGGTACAAGATTTTTACATTAATATACAACCAGGAGATGATGAATATGGCAGTTATGATCCGAAATATGTTCCCGTAATCGAACAGATTCAATCAAAAATGAACTGGAAAGTAGATCATGACCATAGTAGGAATGGAAATAGACATCCGTTTATACAATATGGTATTCTAAAAAATACATCTTATAATAATGAAGAATTAGAACGTATTCAAAAAGTTATATCGAATCCAAAATATCGCGTCAATTTATTTCATCGTTTTCAACTTGATCCACAAAAAGGAGATCGAATTCTCTATCTAGCAGAACCAACAAATAAAAAATTGGAATTTGTACCAGATTCACAGCAAAATATATGAACCGTCATTGTAACTTCATTAGTTTCCTGATACTACGGGAAAAACTGATGACATATCCGTGAACATTCTTTACGATACTTTTTGAATACATATACATTACGCGTATATATTTCCTAACTTTGTGAAACACGATCTGAAAGGAGCGTTGAAGTGTATAGAGCAGAAATTTTGGACCCACTCCCCTCCCTCTCCACCCCCAGGCAGACAAACTTTTGAGAAAACGTGTTTAAACGCACAGAAATTGACCTAAAGTCAGCAAAAAGTGGACGTTTTTGGC